GTTACTAGCGTGAATCCCACGCTAGTAGCGTGGTAACTTCTGCCTGTTTTGGAACTCTGGCGCTACTAGCGTGAATCCCACGCTAGTAGCGTGGTTGTCTCTGTATGAAAGGTCTCTCCTCACGCTAGGGGCGTCATACCCACGCTAAGAGCGTGGGCCTTCAGATTGGCTTTCCCTTTTTAGCTCCAATTTGTCTATTTTTCCTACGAAATCAACATGAAATCAGTATGCATTCTCTGATTAAGAATTTGACAGATTAACAGTGATTATCGCCCTTTTTGCTTAAGATTCAATCACATTCTTTCTCTTTTTGGTTTAGATTTCCTTATATGTTGAGCACATATCAGGAGGCATCACAGGCTCTATCCTATCTCCTTTGCCGGCGGTGATAGGACGGGCACGTCCTCTACTGCATGCACCAGTGTCATCTGGCTTAGAATGATCCATCTGCAAAGCTTTATAAAAATAATGTTTGAATATATACAAAATAATACGTAATACCCAACCATAAACAAGTTACTAATGAGCTCTATCATAAATAATCGAAGCGTAATGAAATGTACGGAACAACAATCTCAAAAAAGTTTACAAGTCAAGGCAAATTGATAAATGTCTTTAGCATAACAAACATCAGTAAACAAATATTAGAGAGTGATCATTCGGATGAATCCTGTTCTTCTACTTCTTCTTATGCGCCTTCCTCTAGAGTCTCATATTCGTCCAATTCAGGTTCACTATCTGAATAAGTCTCTTGTCCGTCATCATTTGATTCCTCATCCCCCTCATGGATAGGAATCATGTCTAACTCTGCAGCAGTAGCAAAGAGATTGATTGGCACATCATCCTCTACAATATTTAGGGGCAGTAAATCTTCAACGTTAGCTTGAAATGGTTCAGATTTCATTTGTTTGTGGTTCACGCGACCATGTGGTTCTGAAAACGGAGGCTCCATTTTTTTAAAATGAATATATGAGAAAACCCTAACTTGAAACCCACATTCACCTCTCTTTTTTCCAGCCCAACATAAAAGGCCCACCAAACAAAATTGGTTGCAAGATAATATATATATATATATATATATATATATATATATATATATATATATATATATATATAATAGAATGTGCCAAGTACACCATTATAATTGATATAGTAAGTAATTTTTATTTGTCCAAATTTTTTAATTTTTTGCAAACTTAAATTAATAAAATTTATTTTTAATAATAACAATATAATTATTATTTTGATAACTATATTAACATAAATTTTGTAAAATTTATTGTTAATAACAAATTTTTTGAATATTTGACCAAAATTTTCATCTCTTGAAAATTAAATTATTCTAATTTCTCACATTCGAGATCTTTTAAAAATAAAATAATAGTTGGATACATTGATTAATTAAAAAAATCAGAATTATAGCATAAAAATCATTTGTCTGAAGAATCTTATTGAAATGGTTGGTCAACCATTTTATTGCCACATCCCACAGGCTTTTCCACACTTCAATAGGGACACCATCAGGTCCCAAGGCTTTATTAGTCTTCATTCTCTTTAAAGCCTCATTAACTTCATGTGTATTAATTTTGCGCACAAATCTTCTATTCAAATCATCATAAGCATCATTCAAGTCCACCTCACTTTTATTGTTATCCCCATTAAACAGCTTATTTAAGTAGTTCATCCATCTTTCATTTACATCTTTATCTCTCACCAAAAGTTTTTGATTTTCGTCCTTGATACATATAACTTGGGTGAGGTCTTTACTTTTCTTATCCCTTATTTTTGCAAGTTTATACATACCTTTTTCACCACCCTTGCTCCCAAGATTTTTATACAAATCGACGAAAACCCTGCCTCTAGCTTCCCGCACTGCTTTCTTCGCATTTTTTCTCGCCAATCTAAACTTTTGCAAGTTCTCTTCATTGAGACTTTTATGCAAAGATCTAACGCATTTCTTCTTTTGTTTAATTGCCTCTTGCACCTCTCCATTCCACCACCATGTTTTCTTTGTATAAAATCCATTTCCTTTGCTTTCTCCCAACACTTTTCTTCCCATATTCTGAATACACATACACAGCCATCTCATTCCATATTGCATTTGCTCCTCCATCAAACTCCCAAGGTCCTTCATGCAACATTCTTTCGTTGAACTCTCTCTCTTTTTCCTCCTTAAGCTTCCACCACCTTATCCTTGGGTCTTGAGCCATCTTCCTCATTGTAAGTACTTTGTTGAACCGAATCTCCAGGACTACCAGCTTATGTTGCGTAGCAACACACTCTTCAGGGTATACCTTACAATCGACACAAGAAGTTCTATCTTCTCTTCTAGCCAAAAAGAAATCAATCTGACTACGATTACAGCCACTGTTAGATGTGACTCCCTTTTCCCAAAAAAAAGTGTTCTCTGGAATCAAATCGTAGGCTAGTGCAACATTCAAGATATCTTCTCCAGTCTCGTTTCTTGTCCCATAGCCAAAACCTCCATTGCTTTTACCAACATGACCATTTATATCTCCTTCTAAGAAAATCTTCTCCTCTTCTGGTATCCCCCTTAAAACCTCCTCCAAGTCTTCTCAAAATTGGCTCTTCTCATTTGGTTGCAATCCAACTTGGGGTGCATACACACTGAGGATATTCAAGATTAAATCACCCACTACCAGCTTAACTAGAATAATCTTGTCGCCTTTCCTTTGACGTCAACAACTTTATCTCTGAAACTTTTATCGATCATAATTCCAACACCATTTCGACTCTTGTTTATACCTGTGTACCATAACTTGAAACTAGTTACATCCACTTCCTTGGCCTTTTCTCCAACCCACTTAGTTTCTTGCAAGCAAACATTATTCACTTTCCTTCTAGCAAAAACATCTGATAACTCCCTCAATTTACCCGTTAATGTTCCTATGTTCCAACTTCCCAATCACATCCTTAACCCCTGGGTTGTACTTGCCTGCCACGCTCGTCCATCTGCGTGTTATGACCCTGACATACTTCTCACCAAGTCCGGGTGGAGACCTAGCGCCTTGCCTTGAGACAAAGACCCTAGCTCATTTATCACTACACCCGGGGCCCGATACAGCGCCTTGCCTTGTGGCAAGGGCCCTAGCCCATTTCTCGCTACACCCGGGAGCCGATGCAACGCGTCGCTATGAAGGGTACGCCCCAACGAAAAATTATAAGGGTTCATCTCATAAATATAGCTGCTTTTTATGGCCGGTTCGCTACACCTGATGCCAACCCTCCTCCTTTATCCTGGCTTGAGACAGACCATGCATGCAAGTAGGGTTGCTAAACAAGCCAGGGGCCTTTGGCTCGGCTCGTGAAGGCCTGAACTTACATGTCTAAAATTGATTGTTGGACTCAGGCTTGGACTTGTATAAAAGCTCGTTTAATAAAAAGGCCTCAGGCTCCAATTCAAAAGCTCGGCCTTAGAGCCTCTCAGGCTTGCCTAATATATTATTTTTTTTATTTTTTTTTATTTTTTATACTACTTGTGATAGTCTTCTCTCTCTTCTCAATTCATTTCATCCCATTTTATTAATTAAACAGACTTTTTAAATGATTTTATTTTTTATTATGCTATTTGGATATACATTAAATTTATGAATATTTATGGAATTACTAGTGTTGTTGATTGTATATTTTGTTTGGATAAATTTTTGTTATCTTATTTTTTTAAACAGGCTAAACAAGGCTTTTATTTTTTGTAAATGAGCCAAGCCACATGATGATATTATATTCGTAACAGGTAACAGGCTAAGGCCAGTCTGACACATTTGAACACAGGCTCGGCCCATTAAGACCAAAGCTCAGCTCGGCTCGGCTCGGCAACACCCCTGCATGCAAGCATACACAGGCGAAGTTAAATAAGTATTCACATAATCACCAAAAAGTTTTTCCGTATTTTATTTGCATAAAAAATGTTTAGCTCAATTGACATTTTAGTAACTGCTTGAGCATAATAGCCGTGGTAAGCAGGTGTTTCTCCTCAAGACCATAACCAATAGAATTGCTAAGAAGTATGTTTTTCTTCTTTAAAATTAGTTTTTCTTCTTCTTTCAAAATCGTAAATACCCACCTAAATCAAGATTATATCCAATAATATCTCAAGTGTTTGTATCCTCGACCTAATAGTCTAGGAAAGATCAAGATAGTGGTAGCACCACCTTATATAATGACCATCCCAATATCCAACTATTGTAGTATATGAAACGTTTGATATCTGCCACCAATGACCGAAACCCATTATTGGCTAACCATAAGTGGCACAAACTACTCGAGCAAGCTCAAATGACGAATTTTATGTTTCTTACTTGAACTATAAGTCACCTCATATATGCGGTATGCCTTTCATCTTTTACTTTGGGTGGCTGCAATGACACCCAATAACATGGCCAGTGGCTAGCTTAAGCATTCCACTTTCTATAATTGCAGCACCAAATTGATAATCCATTCATGAAGGACCCAAATAGAGCTCAGGCTTCTTTTGTTAGAAAGAAAAAGATTATCTATATGCATTTACTTAATGGGGTTTAAGCTTTTAGAAAAAAATTAAATTAAATTAACGTAGCATTACATCTTTATGAACAAGTGAGTCGAGACCAAGAGTTTGTTCCTTGTCATTTATATTTCTTCTAAATAAAATTTTCAGCACAAGATATAGAAGGCTTGTGCATTATTAATGCTTAAACTCTAAAAGACTTTTAATGAGAGACTCTATAAGAAATACAAAACTATTTATATATCTAAACATAATAATTTAAGCTTTTGCAAGTTAATTTATGACTATTCCTACCATTAGCCAGAGTTGCTGATAAAGCAATGGAAACATAGGGAAAGGTACATCAATTTAAGGTTTTTGGACAAGAACATTATAAGCTGCTCCTACAAATTAATAATCTTAAAAAAAGAAATTTATAAATTAAAATTGACCGTGCTTGATTTTCATAGTCCATATAAATAAGGGAACCTAAATAGTGTAACAGAGAAAGACAAGGTCAAGCAGTTTTATTTCAAGAGGGAACATAGGCAGCTGTCAAGGTATGCTAATAGAGTTACTGCAAGTTCCTAATGCTTACCATTTAAGCTGCAAAATCCAAATGCCATTTCCAACATAGTCAATAGATAAAGAACAAAAGACCCAAATGTTCAAACATAACTATTAATTAGGCAAGTTGAGCAACTATCCGAACATGCTTAACCACCTTATTCTATGAAAAACTATAATGAAGAAAAACACAACATACAAAAAGGAATTTAGGGACATCATATTCATTACAAAGTTGGTTGTGATACAAGCTCTGATATGCCAGAATGAGAAGGCTGTTCCTCTTTCTGTACTACTCCATGTTGCAATTGTTGTGGTTGTTCTCCTTGCCAGGTCCAAACAATGTCCTTAAGTGCAGGCCTAACATCTTGTTTCAAAAGCTTTTGGTACTCCAATGTATCTCCACTGGACTTTTTTAACTCCACCAAATGGAAAACCGGGGTGATCTCAAAAATCTCTGCATCAATACCCAAAGGCCCTTTCCTTCCTCCCTTGGAACCTTCCAACTTGAACAAACCTCCATCTTTCTTCTTCACTTTAAGCCGAAGCCGCTTACAGATCTCTTCTAACTTGGATATGATAATTGAGGCAGGCTTGTTAGATGTGAACCGCACTTCTTTCTTTTGATCAGTCTCCTCAAACAAACCGGACAAGTCAAAACCTGATGAAAAGGATATGATATCAAAAGCATTTAAATTACAAGGTTTTGATAGTTCATGCTTTGACTCTTCAGCAGGACCCCCATTCTCACAAGCTCCAAAAACTCCATCAGCATCCAGAGGAGCTAGTTCTTTGTCTTTGTTGTCAGTAACAGTTGGATTCTCAAGCCCCTTTCTGAACCAAGAATTTTCCATAATTTTTGCCAATGATATCCTGGTCTTTGGGTTTGGATCCAAGATTTTGGACAATAACCTGCGTACTTCTGGTGCAAACCAGTTAGGACATTTGAATTCTGCCTTACCAATCTTCCTATACATCTCCATCAGATTTGAATCTCTAAAAGGAAGAAAACCTGCCAATAGAACATACAAGATCACCCCACATGACCATATATCAGCTTTGGTCCCATCATAACCCTTTCTGTTGATCACTTCTGGAGCAACATAGGCTGGGGTACCACATGTAGTATGGAGCAATCCGTCTTGGTGCTTAGACTCAGCAAGAGCACTTAACCCAAAATCTGAGACCTTCAAATTTCCATTTTCATCCAATAGAAGATTTTCTGGTTTTAAATCGCGGTGACATACACCTCTGCTATGGCAGTAGTCAACAGCACTGATCAATTGCTGAAAATATCTCCTAGCATCGTCTTGCTTGAGCTTTCCTTTGGATACCTTGGCGAAGAGCTCACCACCTTTTACATACTCCATGACAAAGTATATTTTGGTTTTGCTGGCCATTACCTCATAAAGCTCAACCACATGTGGATGCCTGATTAGTCTCATCACTGAAATTTCACGCTTAATCTGATCAATCATCCCAACTTTCAAAACCTTCTCTTTGTCAACAACTTTAATGGCCACACTCATGCCAGTTATAATGTTCCTTGCATGATATACCTTTGCAAAGGTTCCTTGGCCTAGTAATCTCCCTAGTTCATATCTTTGCATAAGAACATTTCCTTTCTGTTCCATTTCTATTACAACTTTTTGCACAAAACTAATGCTAATATCAATAGTACCAAGAACAGGCAATTATGTGGCCAAAAGCAGGAAAATGGTTCTCAAGAAATTCAAAGCTCAACCGTCTTCACAAACATCATGTTTGGAAATCACACAATGGCTGAGATTTCTAGCCACCTCAGTTACTTGAGCACAAAGTAGATATGGGCAGTGGACTAAACACCCAATCTCGTCAAGGATGAACAAGGGTAGCTCAAATGGAGGTACAACCTCAATAGCTTCAGAGAAGGAGTTTTTGACCATCAAGCACATCTTTCAGCATTCCCTGATTTTGTGATGACACTAGAGAAAGCTGAAGAATATGGGCTTCTTAAAACTTTTGTAGAACAATCAAGGAATAAAGCAGTACCTGGTTAACCTTTTAATTACAAAGCAGCAGAATATATAATGAAAGGCACACCTGAAAGAAAGACGAGCAAATTCAATAAGTAAACTCAATCAAAATCTTGCTAAATAAATTACATGAAACTTTTATGTGCAAAACCAACATAAGATACTAAAGGCACTAACTAAATTAAGAATAGGTAAGACTAATCTTTATTTTGTAATATTTATAACTCCCTTCAGATGCCATTCTTTAACAATCTCAACCGCAAGAGACTAAAACAAGTGGTAAAAATCCAAAAACCAAAAAGTATTAAGTGCATCAATTACAGTTCTCTCAAGTAGTCTAGTTGTTTATAGAGATTTTACCAATAAATGGTTCATGACAAAGAAAAAGAAAAACAAGTGAAAACAAAAGTGGAAGCATACTTCACTTGTAAAAAGGATAAAAACGTCCCATCAAGCAAAATAAATTCAGAATTAAAGATCTTTTCCATTTCCACTGTATTACCTCATTGTTGTCAATGTGATGGTTTGTGATATGCCCTTAATTTTCTAAAAATGGGAGAAATATTCTACGAGGTTGAAAACAGGCAATATAACTATAACAGGGTTGGCAAACGTTTCTATAAGCATGTCATTCCACTTTCCATTATAATCATGACATAGGTTTGGCAATCTATCTAGCTATTTTCATGCTTTTTTCCCATGTAATAAATGAAAAAATTAAATTAAACCAAAATCCTCAAACGAATAAGATGAAAAAATAAAAATGAAAAATGAAAAATATAAAACACCCCCACACAAAAAAAGGAGAGAAATAGATGCGAGATTATCACATACTAACTCATCAGAATAACAATCATCCAACTAGTTATAACCAATAATGTTTCATGCATGATAAAAATCATGACTTTTTTTTTTTGTCTTAAAGATGAACACATCTTAATTTTCAAGAACGTATCCAAATCCATATTCGAAAAGCATAAAATATGAGGCTTAGATACAGTGGTGAACGATTTTTCTCGGGAAACAAATCGCGAGAAAGAATTCAGAAATAAAGTTCAAAACTTTAAGGCAATCAAAATATGGGTATTCAAAGAAAGAGAAGAATAAAGATCCAAAAAAAAAAAAATCAGAAAACATGCAGAAGAAAATTGATATGGGTATTCTCAATTTACCTGCTAAATGACTCGAGATGTAATTTTGTACTCGGTGTTCTCTGTTTGTGAGTGCAATGAAGTGGAAGAAGACGTAACCAGAGTTATAACTTGAAACATGTAAGAGAAGAAAGACAATTTGCCATCGAGTTTTTATAAGAGTGGAAATTCGAGAATAAGAGAATATTCTAACGCTCTAAGCTCCTTCTTACAACTCAAATGATTAGACGCAATATTAATATAATACAAGGGATTAATGATTATGTAGGCAATAATTTTGCTGCTTGATTGGTCAGAGTTGTTGGGACATGGGACAATGAATCTGAATTTGAAAAATGATGCTTCGCTGAACATCATTCAACCTTCGAACGACAACAAAGCATAATTGGTTTTCTCGAGAGTTCCAAATTACCCAATGACGGTGTTACACGATGCGTTAGACAGTACCATCTCCGCTAACTAGGTACAGCCTTCCCGTGTTACGTTCGTAAACAGGTGTGAGATTCATTTGTGACCGGACACGTATGACGTTATGATTAGTGGTGACGCTGGACATGTTCACAGGGCGGGGACCACGTTATTCTTTTGGAATCTAGCAGACTGGAATTACCGATTCGCCCTTAGTATCATGCATGGGCAGTCCCAAATAGGTGCACCGTGCACGTCTTTTCATCATTGGAATATTCTTTTTCTTTTCTTTTTTTTTAATTAGTTTTTCTTTTTCTATTTGTCTTTTGGAATTTTGACAGTGTTGTCTTGAGAAAGAAGAGAGAAATGGACGTGTTGGGGAGAAAGTGACCATTTTGCCACGCTTCACCAAATTATTTACCAGACTGTCACGTGAACAGTAAAAATTCCTGAAATGCCACGCGGCATAATTCGCTACACTGTGCAGCGAATTATGTTTGCAAATAATTCTCTACACAGTGTAGCGAAATATGCAGTGTCAGGCTGCACAGTCAGCAAAAATGACACGTGTCAAGCTGGCAGCATAACAGACATAATTCGCTACACCCCAGTGAATTACTGTCAGCTTGACACGTGTCATTTTGCTGACTGTGCAGCCTGACACTGCATAATTCGCTACACTATGTAGCGAATTATTTGCAAACATAATTCGCTGCACCGTGTAGTGAATTATGCCGCGTGGCATTCCAGGAATTTTTACTGTTCGCGTGGCAGTCTGGTAAATAATTTGGTGAAGCGTGGCAAAATGGTCACTCTCCCCGCGTTTGGTACTCAACGAGAAAAAGGAATAAAAATAAATAAATCTTAATACTCAGAGAATAAAAGGAAAATGAAAAGAAAAGAAAAAGGTTGGTTTTCACTTCTTAGATGATAGCAAAGAAGAAAGAAATAAAGCAAAGAAATATTATTTTCATATATAGTTAAATAAAAAAATAAAATAAAAAAGATTTCTTATCATATTAAACCATGAACATATCACTTTGGTGATAAAATTATTATGTAGTTATTATTTCTGATTTATAATAGTTTTAATTAAAAAAAAAAAAACTCCAGTACATAAGACTCTCTAAATTTTTTAGGATTAGGGATAAGGGTTAATTATAAGTAACTTTGCCTATACAATTTTAAAAATGAAGAAATACATATAATATAAAGTTGGCATTTCAGAATTATAATCTTTGACATTTAATGAGAGTAGCTGTTGTAGAGCAACTGCACATATAGATACAAGCTCTTTGATTTTTTAATAGATATAGCAGCAGCACAACTAAAGCAATAAGCCTCAATAAATCCTTTAGAACTCTTCTCCCATGATTAAGAATCAGAAAGCAAGGGTTTTTCCTCCATGATTGAGGCTTCCTGGCTAACTACAGTGGGAGCTGGGCAAGCATGTAATTCAGTGCATATATCTGCTGTCTTCAGGAACTTCTCTGCATTAACAAGGAACAAAGGTCCATACTCGAAAACCATCGTTTTGCACTGCAAACAATTTGATTATTATGAGAAAATCTTATATAAACATGGAAGAATTGGTTATGAAAATTATGTTTTCATGCACTTTCCATATGGCACTGCAAAGTTTCTCTTTGTTGTACAAGTGTATTAGCCTTGTAGGGAAGAAGTAGCTCAAGTGGCATCAAGTCTATTTGGAGATTGTTTGATCAAGGGAACTAATATCTTATCCCTCCTACATGAGATCTTAGACCTCTATTGTAAAGCGCAAAGGGCAAAACCCAGTGCACAACTTTCCCCGACTTGTAAGGATAAGGATGAGTGTCTATTGTAAGTTGTCTTACCCTCGCATTTTTGCAAAAAGACAGTTTCCAAGGCTCTATGTTGGGGTTCCATTTGCAAGGTATGAGACTTAGAGTCCCACATTAGTTGTATGGACAACTAATGTGGAGTTTATAAGATCTTGGGCACTCTCACCCTTTGAGCTAGCTTTTGGGGTAGTGCATCTCAAGGTCTCATCACTCTACTGTAGCACAAAAAAATAAATAAATAATACCCTATCCAATTCCTACAATGAGGTTTGTCCTAGTATCTGCAATAATTGTAGTAGTACGGTTTCACCTCCAGATGGTGCACAGAGAATAGAGTCATAAATTTTCACACTAGAGTTCAAAATTATTGACTAGGTAAGGATTCTGCCCATGAGGACTATTACTACAAGAAAAGTAATGTGGGTCTAACTATGATATTTTAGTCAACTGGATAAAAGTATGAAACTTCATTTTATGGAATCAAAGGATAGATTCCATGCAACATGATGTTTAAGAATGCAAGAGTAATTCAATAAATAAGAGAGGAAAAGAAACATGGGAATTTCTCAGATTTTTCTCACCTCCTTCTTTAACTTCTCCATGGAATTGCACATCTTCAATAGTGTCTCCACTATCTCTAGCTGAAGTTTTATAACAAATTGTTAGTTTTATATTCAACAAAAGGTGATCAAAACCAAAGGGAGGAACTAGGATTAAGTCGTCGGAGAGGGGCCAAAACAAAAATAGTAGGAAGGCTTTTAAGAAAAACTGAAAGTTTTGAGGGTCGTGCCAAGTGTTCATTTTATAAGAAATAAACTAAAGCCCACGAAAACTTCATAGACTTAAAAAATCTTTTATGGGGGGGTAATGTAGGTCCCTCCCCAGGCTGCAAGCCGAGTCCTTCCATAAAACCATTAATTACACTACTAGTAAATAGTTCAAGGAAGATCTTTCACTATATTTTCAATTCAAAACTCAAACATTGATAATAGGTCTCTTTATTATTTTTGCAAATCCATCATTCTTATAACAAAAGATGGCGGAAATATTCATTACATATTGTATATTAAAATATTGTGCCTATGATTCCATATGCTACATCCATACCATACCATAATCAAATTCCTTTTTCTGTTTGACAGCAGACCATAGGCTTTCCCAAAAAAAAAAAAAAAAAAGTCTAATTTGCAGGTATATGAAAAGTATGCAACAACCATTTGGGGTAGATGAAAGTCAGGTGTGGAACTTGAAAATGTATAAAAACTCTCTTCTTATCAAGGAGGGATAAGATATCTTTTACATCAGCAGGTTAAATTACTAACCTTAGTGTCAGGATCCTTCAATTTAACTAGCAAGGCTGAAACAGCATCTTTGCAAAAGCCACAGCTATTTCCTTGAACTAGTGAAGGAATATTTGCAGATCGACAGAAGTTGATCCTTTTGCATAGTTCTCCAGGCTGAGCAGAAGCTATTTCTAAGAAGAATTGGGGAGCATAGTAATCCACCAATTCTATGCACTGTGCAATACAGAATAAACAGAGATAAGTAAATAGGGTCTGATATGTTCTGATTCACTCACATTCACATCAACATCAACATCAACATCAACAACACCTTTATCCCAAATTTCACTCACATTCACATATACTCTAAAAATTCCTATAAAGTGCTGATAATTGTCCCACTATTATGTCTTAAATCACTCATTTTTCCATGTTTCACCAAAGAAAGTTCACGGTTCAACAAAAACTGGGCTGTGTTATCGGTTTATGAGAACTAAAATATGCATAATTATCATATTTGTAAAAAAAACTTTGCCCAAAATGTTGGTATAATATTAAACAGCATAACAGGAAATTAAAGTCAATTTTTGCAACAACTGAGAACAACTACACCATCTAAACAACTTCACAACAGATCCAGGAAAGGAGACCAACCTGATGCTTGAAAGAGAACAGCGTGTAGCAAATATTGTGAAGGGCATCAATGATCTCACTCTGGGTCTGGTTATCATTTAGAAAATCAAGTGCCTCAGCAGTATATTCCTCACAAAGTGCACACACATCTGGTTTTCTCTTTAATTCTGCATATGGAAGATATGTCAACAAGATAAATTACTGATGCTGAATTTGTATTTGAAAATTCTAACTGTAATCAACAGAAATTGTTCTTGTAAGTAAAAGTGTCAAGATTTACGCATGATGTTCAACCAAGCCACATTTTTGCTTCAGTGGTCTAATGAAAACTAAGGCATAGACGTTATATTTTTGACAAAATTGGGACCCTTAGTACTAAACTTAAGAAAAGTGCTTGAATTTGAAAAATTCATCTATATTTCATTCATACTATTTTATCTAAAGGAATGGTAAATCTATGAATTTGACACTCATTAGTAAAGCTTAAGGGAAGAAATGCCATGTTAGGATGGGTCTTCCTTTCCTATCAAATGAACATAAGAAGCTCTGCAAATTAACCAGAGCAATTCAACCAACTAAGTTTGATGAACATAAATGTTCTATACAACCAGACAGAGCCCAGATTGGAGGAATACTGGGGTGACAGGCCACACCCCAAAAAAAAAAGAAAAAAGAAAAAAAGAAAAAAGAAAAAAAGAAAAAGAAAAGAAAGATAAGAAAAGAAAGATAAATGTTTTCAAAAAAATAAAAGAAAGATAAAAAAACATCAGAATAGATATTAGGGACAACATTAGCAATCTATTTCTATTCCAAAGCAGATATCATTTTAACACTGGATATTTTGGCCTGTCAGAATGGCTCATCTGAAAGGTTTGTACTACAATAATATTACATTATTATTCTTCATCCCATTCCTTTGGCCACTCCTCTCATTTTACAATACCTACTAATCATAATGCCATGTCTCAATCCTTAAAAACTATAAATTTTCCACAACACTCTTCAATTCAATACAAGCTAAACTTTTACAAATTACTAGTAGCCAGCATTTTCTTTTCCTTGTTTTCCATTTATGGTTAAATAATTTATAAACCTTCTAAGATTGATGAGAACAATTTCAGTCAACAATATGTTACCAGAGTTTGCTGTGTTTGCAGCTAGCTCTCTTGCATTACAAGCCCAAGCAGCACCCAATATAATGAGAAATAAAAGCCCCCTTCTTTCCTCCATGGCACCTGTAACAAGCACTCCAAAAACCAATGTTAACTTCCATCAGAGAAAAGCCAGGAACCAATAAAAATTCAAGAGCTATTCCAAAGATATATATAGTGAACTTTGAACTGAAATGAATACATGCACATATCTTCAACAATATGATAGAAACTTATGCAAAACAATTAAGAGATTTATCAATTAAATATTCTTCATTTAGAGATTTATAATAATAATATACACCGAGTTGGAGTATACGTTAATGCAAAACACAATGATAAAGCACGCACAAAGATAATAACGTGTGGACAGAAACTTATCTGAAAGCAATACCAATTAAGATAACAACAGAAAATAAATCAGTGCAATCACATGATCAGCAAAAAAAAAAAAAAAAAAAAACCCATTTGTTCATATTGAAATCAGAAAGAGAGACAGAGCGAGATATCAATTCTAATAATGAAAAAAAAAAGGTGGCAAAAGTTATGATTTATAGTAAACGACACATGAATGAAGAAGAAGAAGAAAGGAAGAATACCTCTTGGAGAAGAAGAGAAGAGGAGGGTAACAAAGAATGGTGGTTCTGACTCCCAATGTCGTTTTTATTTTTATTTTTTACCTTTTCCCTGTTCCTAATCGGTGTTTCCTATATTTTATTTTGAAATAGATATTGTTATTTGTTACTATTAATCTCATCATTATATCTTAACTGATTTTTTTGATAATCAATGGTTATCATTTATTATGAATTAATAATTGATTCATGAAAAAAATAATCATTGGTTCGTAAAAATTAACAGTAAAGAGATAATAATAACATTGATAATAACAATATCTTATCTTTTTTACTTTTAGTAAAAATTTCACATTTTTTTTAAATTATCGTGCAATTTCAAAATGATATTATTTTGAAACTTAAAATTATTTGTATTTTTCTTTTACTAAACTTTAAAATGATATTTTTTTATCTTTTATTGCATGAGAAATATTATTTTTGAAAAAAAATCATAAAATAACTAATATTTGAAATGACATAAAGTTATGTAGGGGTGGCAATATGGGTTGAGCCCGGCGGGTCAACCCGCCAACCCGCCAAAACGGGGCGGGTTGGGTTGAGATTTTCAACCCACCAACCCACCTCAACCCGCCCCGCCTAGAAGTGGGTCAAAACGGGTTCAACCCGCCGCGGGGCGGGTTGACCCGCCGGGTTTTAAATTTTTTTATTTTTTTTTATTTTTTTTTATTTTTTTACAATTAGGTAGTATTTCATTAGTATTTAAATTTTTGTGATATTCAATTTTTTTTTTATCTTAGTACTTTCTAGAAAAAATAAAGAATAACTATTTTATTTATGACAAATGTTATCTATTTATAAATTCCTAAAGAATGTTTGACAAATATTAGTATACATTTAAGATTGAAACTAAAAAAAATATAGAGAAGTGTGAAATAAAATAAAATAATATTAAAAAAATTCATAAAATATAATTTATTTTTGAATTTTAATTAAATTTTTTTTAATTGGCGGGTTGGTGGGTTGACCCGTCAACCCGCCAACCCACCATAAAACGGGGTGGGTTCATTTTTACAACCCATATTTTTTGGCGGGTCAACCCGTCCCGCCCCGTTTTTGGCGGGTTGGTGGCGGGGCGGGGCGGGTCGGGGCGGGTCAACCCAAATTGCCACCCCTTTAGTTATGTCATTTAAGAAAGCGATAAACACAAAATAATTTTTTTTATTTAAAATTTAAATTAAAAAAACTATTCACTTTCTCTCTCTCATTATTTCTATATTTTTGTGTCTATCTCTTTTCTACATAACTTATGTCATTTAAAATGACAAACACCAAACCCTATATATATATATATCCAAAAACTCCTCCAAGATAACTCTAAAAAATTTAGGCCTGTTTGATTGTGTTATGATTTATTTGTTCTTAAAACTGTTTTGTAAAATAATTACGAAGATAAGTGTTTTCTGTATTTTTTTATTTTAAAAATTAAAAATCAAAATAAAAACAATTCAGGTGTGTTCTCAAATTTCATTTTAAAAATAAAAAATAGTTACAATTTTTTTTTTCTAAAACAGAACTTATCAAACGGGTATTTTTATTTATTTTTATTTTGAAAGTTAAATTAAAAAAAAAACAATATTCAAGGCCCATTTATTTATTTTTGTCGGTAATTTCATCGATTTGGATGAGATTAAGGCTACCACTATTTTACATTACGTTTGGAAGAAATATATTTTACATACCACTATTTTACACCGACACGGGATATAGGATATGACACAACACGTTACTTCGACACATTAATTTTAAAAAATATTAAATTTCGACACGTTAGGACACATTTTGATATTATATAATATTTTAACTGTTGTAGTGTATATTATATTTAATATTCAATAATTTAATAAAAAATAAATCTAAACTTATAATACCCATCAATTTTGCAAAGAAACATAAGATATCAAAATATTTATATTAAACTCAATAAAATAGTAATCGTAATCTAACGAATCTAATAGTTTGAACTCAAAATACAACTCAACATAATTTTTGAATCTTTTTTGAGTCTTTGCAACGAGTATTGGAGTGTCGGGAAGTATCGGTGAGTGTCGGACACGATACGTCAAGAATTTTGAAGTGTCGATGCTATTCATTTCACATATTTTTTTCGTTTTTAAACAACTCATCTCAAGTATCCAATCTAACCGTGAGATTACACGGAAATAAATAGGCTTTTTGACCCTTTTGCCCCTAATTAATTAATTAATAATCAATTTGCCCCTGATCAAGAACTATCCACCAACCTGCCCCCTTTTAGTCGACTACCTTGCTGTTTTAGTCGAGCAAATGGTCAATCTTCAGAAAGTGGACTACCGCAAATTTAGTCGACTAAAAAATCATCTTAATCGACTACATTTTTGGGATATTTAGTCGACTAAGTAACGATATTTAGTCGACTAAATATCGACGGATTTGTTTTTTAAAAACACCCCATTCGGCAGAGGGGGAGTAGGATGACCTAATCGACTAAGGAGGCGGCCCAAACCCCAAATCCGCAGGAGCAGCTGAAGAACGCTCCAAACCCTTCCCTTAGGCGTGTGGATTGCCCCCAAATTTGGTCCAAATCGTGAAATCTGAAGGATAGGTAAGGTTTCTTAACTTGCATTGTGTTTTAGGTTTAGGAATTTTTTGTATTTGTTTGTTGTCCGAATTTGTGAACTCTAATCAAAGCGTTTGTTGTAGGTTTTGTAACCCTAATCTACTAAGGTTTATTTTTTTGCATTGTGTGAATTTTTTTGTTTGAAAAGTTTGTATGTGGCAAAAGTTTGCTTTTGGTTTACAGCGCTTATGTTGCAAGTTTTCATTACCATCATGACATGTTTCATATAGTTAAATGCTGACATGTTTCATTGTAGGTACCCTAAACAAATGACGAGCCGCAGAAGACCAAGCGATGAGGGCAATGAGTCACTTGAGAGACGCACCAAGCATAGGCAAGAGCGGCCTTCTTCGTCAAGGCGACAAGACGAAGAGCCTGATACTGTTGACCTCCCGTATGGGTATCTGTTTGAGGACGACCCTGCCGTCCACGCTTCATTCGTACGTGACCATTTGAACCGGCCGTTATGTGCTCCAAAATCTTTGGATACAGCCTTTTTTGATAAGGAGGGATTTGAAATTGTGGGGGTGTTGGAGGCGGCACATCTGAGGGTGTTGGCCGAGACCCTATGTCCGTATTCAGAGCTTATGGTGCGGGCCTTCTACCATAACCTCAGCTACGTACAGGGCGAGCTGAGGTCGAAGGTCTGTGGAATAGAGATCATCATGACGGCACCTGCATGGTTGGAGATACTCGGCTATGATTTTGACTCTTCTCAGACTGTGGTGTATGACGCTGATAGTGGTGTAGTACTTCCAGGATATGTACGAGAAGATGCCGTGCAGGAGCAGAGAAGAGTCCGTGGGGAACACTTGCACTATACGGTGGGGTTGCTTTCTGTGGAGTCCCGTATACTACACTATGTCCTCACCCACGTTCTGTTTCCGCGATCTTTTAATCATTCCAGGGTGTTGGAACATGACATTCCCATTATGTGGGCTATCCGACATGCCCAGATGGTGAACTGGAGGCATTATATCTGTTGGTTTATGTTTAAGGCCAAACATAAGGGTCATCTTCCATACGCCTGTCTGGTACAGAGGATATTGGTTCACTTTGGTGTTCCCATGGAGACTGAGCTGTTGAAGAAGACCACGGGCTATAATTGCAAGTTCGGAAAGCGTCTATTGGAGCAGTGCAAGATTACTAAGAACACGAGATCGGGTGTGTGGGAGTTTAGTGGTATGCCCCAGGTTGAGGTTCCTTATGTTGCCCCAGATGACCATATTGTTGAGCCAGAGGTGGAGGAGGAGGAGGAGGAGGAGGATGTGGCTGAGGTTGAGGAGATAGCTGAACCTGAAGGTGGATTTTCACTGCGTGATGTCATGAAGGGCATAAATGCAATGACAAAGAAGATAGGAAAGATGGCGCTGGCACATAAAAAATGGAGAAAGAAAGGGAATGAAAGGTTTAGACACATACAGGGAAGGTTTAAGGGTGTGGAAGACAGGCTTGCTCGTCTGGAGCTTGCAAGAGGTGGTGAGGTAGCTGAGGCAGCAGGGGATGGGGGTCATGTGTCAGATGAGGACGACTCGGAGACGGACACAGACGGGGATGACGAGTAGATTTAGGGTGTACATCATGTTATTATGTTTTGTTCATGTATTTCCTTTAAGTCGTTGATGTAATGTAACTTTTTTTAATGAATGCAGAATTGTTATGTTTTTTGGATCTATGTTATGTTGTGTAATGAATTTAATTCCATTTCAATATTGTATAACTTATGAATGGAACCTTTTTAGCAATTTGATCATCACGGCACAAAACAATATTGAACAGGTCACATTCGTCCATAACACATCACAGCAAATCAGTACATGTGTTTAAAAAGACTACATCTTGTATTGTTAACCGTAAACAAACGTTATGACAACATACGACTTGGTTTTAGGAATTTAATGTCCACATGGGTTTTTTGACTCGGAAATTATGCTCCCTAAGTCACACTCCCTTAGTGGATCAGTGTAGAGTGGAAACCTAGGGCAAAAAACATGTGTAATTCGGATTTGGGGTCCTAAACCAACAATTTAGTCGATTAACCTGTACTGGTTTAATCGACTACATACCAGGGACATCCATCATTATGGTGTCGACACTTCATCACAAATCTATGGTCATCATTTTTTGCCACAACGGCAGTACGGTGAGCCTTCATACAATATAATTTGACTGCATGTTGCATTTCAGATTTGCTACGAAACTCCTGATACAAATATAAAGGATCCCCTAATTGCCAGCCACCGTGATCATCATCGTCACCATACAATATCTCTGTCTCATCATTAGGGTGGGCCCAATTAATGAAGGTATAATGTGAGCTTTCATTCCAAAATGGCTCGACCTCAGAACCTACGGATGCATTATAATGCCACCGTCAATACCATTCATAACAAAAAAAATAATTGCTAAATTAAATCTTTAAAAAACAAATCTTACCACTGCTAACAGGGTCAACACGAAGTGGTCTCATAACCTGCGAACCCGGGGATGGTGAGCTTGTGTCAGCGTCGAAATCACCTTCTACGTCAGTATCTGACGTGTCACCTAGCGGAATAACACTCTCAGGTTCACCGTCCTCATCGCTGTCCATATCGGCATCCTGTTCATCCTCATCTATTTCCCGCAGTGTTATCTGACTTATGACATGTGCAGGTGCAGATAAATCGACTACTCTTTCTTCATGACCAAAATACGGTTCACTTCTTGTATGCATGGGTGCAGATGAAGATTGACCACAATCTAATTCAACATATATCTCAATAAAATTTTGAAATTTTCGGTCAACAATTGCATCTATGACACATTCGACATCTTCATCATCACATATATCGTTACCAATGTAGTAAATAACATCCTTACCAACTGTTGTCTCTACCCTGGCAATCATCCGTTGAACGCATTTGCTGCTTTGCAGACCCAATTTTTGCTGAATTCTCTCCTTTAACTCATTGTATGTAGTGCCCCGTTTGATTCTCAACATTTTCGTTTTTCCTTCAAATTGAACACCATTGGGGCCTTCATAATGCTTTCCATCATAGTAGATCATTGTCACATACATGTTTGGACTTGTGCTCATCTTCCTCACGAAATTGGGACTTGGGTTCTGAAATTGGGGGTTTGGGTTCGGATTTTGGGGTTTGGAATTGGGCAATGACAATGATTTCACAATATTAGGTCTGTAGAGATGGTGGGATGAAATACAATCGGATTGAGAGGATTACACATGAACAAAGGGAGCTATTTAGGTTTACACAACAACAACAATCGAAATGAGACCGAAAACATGGAAAATATAGGGTTTCAGTCGACATTTAGTCGACTAAATATCGTTACTTAGTCGACTAAATATCCCAAAAATGTAGTCGATTAAGATGATTTTTTAGTCGACTAAATTTGCGGTAGTCCGCTTTCTGAAGATTGACCATTTGCTCGACTAAAACAGCAAGGTAGTCGACTAAAAGGGGGCAGGTTGGTGGATAGTTCTTGATCAGGGGCAAATTGGTTATTAATTAATTAATGAGGGGCAAAAGGGTCAAAAAGCCGAAATAAATATGGAAAAGTTGGATAATTCTATCTTCATCGGAATCATGGCAAAGAAAAAACTCTTTATCGCTCTGACAAAAATTAAATATTTAAAATCAGGTTTGGAGATAAATTGTAGAATTAATAATTAATTTGAAATCATATTTAAAATTAAGATTTATGTTTTGATATATTTTAATGAATTTTTTCTAATTAGTATTTAGTAAATTTTGACGAATTATTTAATTTTATATTTAATATATTTTCATAAATTTTTTTTTTATATTTAGATGACTGTATACATTAAATTTTTTTAATAAAAAGTACAAAATAATCCAATTCAAATGGACTGAAATTGGATTAGATTCAAAGTTTAGAATCAAACCAATCAGATAATATATAACACTAATTAGATTGGATCATAGGTTGTTTTTTTATAAGTGAAAATTGAACATATAACCTAATACAATTTATCCAAATCTTTAAGCCACTGGGATTAATTTAAGTGGAATTAGTTTTTAAGCCACTGAGATTTTTATTAATGGTGAGGGATTTATATAGTTTCAAATTGCATTGCACTTTGAGTATTTTGTGCATGGTTATGATCTTCATTTCATGCTAAATTATTTGTGCACATGTAAGGTTGGAGGGATTTGGTTTCGAAAGTAGAAATATGATGACTTTACTTGTTTTGTGTTTTGGGTATAAAATTCTCATGAGTCTTGATGAAAAATTAGAGTGATCATAATTTGAATGTTGATTCTTTCATAGGAATAAAAATTATAGTAAAAATGAAAAAAAAAAAAAATTGGATTAAAGTTATTCGCTAACAAAGAGAAGGTCTTCGACCAAGGTATTAGACAAACAGACATAAAGATAAAGCAAAGATGATATAACATATAGGGAACATGCATGATTGTGTTTTCCTGTAAAGCTATAATAAAGTATGAGAAAAACTATTCTCATGTCACATAAGACAAGTTTTCTCTCCTACACACCATTCGATAACTGTGCCACTTTTTTCTTTTCTTTTCTTTTCTTTTTTCAGATGGTGGAGCCCACTAGTTTGTCTCTATGACATGAGATAACTATCTCCTTTAACATGAGATTAATAAAATCATAAATTATTTACTATTGTAATTAGTTACGTTGCTTTATTCTGCAAACAGGATGAAGCCATAAGTGTGACAATTTTTTAAATATATAATTTTTGTTTTTATTTTTTGCCGTATGAAAATTTAGGGCCAGGGATTCAGGGCAGGATGGAAGGCCATCGAATTCATCGAGCACTCTCAAATAGCTTACCCAACAACGGCCCAAACAAAGATTTAATAATAATGACAATAATAAACGTTAAGGTTTGCTAAGTTATATATAAAAGTTGTGTAAAACTAATTAACCAAAAAAAAAAAAAGTTGTGTAAAACTATGTTACAACACAAGTTTTAAGTGGATTTAACGATATAAAAATGCATAAATTTTCATGTGTAAAGTATTATTTACACAGCATTGAAAATTAAATTTAGTATATAATTCTGAAGTCGTAAAATGAAAATGAATGAAATGGAATACGAAACACTGGATGTTAAGAACGAAAGAAAATTTAAACGGTAAATGTTAACACTCAACATTAAAAGACAATGTTATTAAACTTGGACGATACTCAATTGGGGTACCGGGTCAATATATTATTGGTTGATTCGCTTAAATTGAATAAAGATGTAAATAAATATATAAATAGAAGTAATATCACAACCAAGTTATTTTTCTATCAGAGGAGGTGTACACCAAGTTCGGCTCTAAGTCCTTATCTCTTTACCTTAATTATGGATGAACTAACAAAAGATATTCAAGAGGAAGTGTTATGGTGTATGCTTTTTGCATATGATATTGTGCTTATTGATGAGAGCAAAGACAGTGTTAATAGATAACTTGAATTGTGGAGAAGCACATTGGAATCTAAAGGATTCAGGTTAAGTCGGAGCAAGACTGAGTATCTGAAGTGTGAGTTTTCTCTGGTAAGAGATGTAGACCAAGATCCCGTGCATCTAAGTGGTCAAGAGGTACCCGAGAAAGATGCTTTTAGATACCTGGGATCCATTTTGCAAAAAGGTGGAGAGATTGATGAGGATGTAAATTATAGAAACAGAGGAGGGTGGATAAAATGCCGTAGTGCATCTGGATTTTTATGTGACCGCAAAATCCCCCTTAAGTTAAAAGGAAAATTCTATAGAACAGCAATACGGCCTGCAATGCTATATGGAGCTGAATGTTGGCCAGCACGTAGACAACATGAACATAAAATGGGAGTAGCAGAGATGAGGATGTTAAGGTGGATGTGTGGTTATACGAGGATGGATAAGATAAGAAATGAAGATATTCGACGAAAGGTAGGAGTACTACCGATGGCTGAAAGATGAGAAAACATAGATTGATGTAATTTGGGCACGTAATGAGAAGGCCCCTGGATGCTCCCGTAAGAACAAAAGTCTGTTATCAAGAGCTCAACACAAAGAAAAGTAGAGGTAGACCGAAACTTACTTAGGGGAAGGTAGTAAAACAAGACTTAATAGAGTGGGATATAGATTGGCGGACGATGTGCCTTGGAAAGGAATGGAGAAGAGCTATAAGCATAGTAGAGGGTTAGACCCGTTGTTATTCCTATGTTCCAGATAGTCCCTTTTTAGTCCTTTTTTTCCCCCTCCCCCCTCTTCTTCTTTTCCCCTTCTTTTATTACTTTTATATTTAAATATATATATATATATATATATATATGTATATATATTATTACTATTTTATTTATTTATTTTTATTTTTTATCTTTTTTCAACCTTTTCGTATCTTTTATTTGGGTTCATCTACCCCCGACCCCAATTAATTTGGGATAAAGGTGTAGTTGATGTTGATGTTGATCACAACCAAAGGTTTAGCATTTCATTACCCTTCCAATCAGTTAGTGGTCCAATTCTGGATTCAACTGGTCCAATGGCTGGGTCGGGTCGGTTTTGATAACACTAGCAAAAGGATTTAATATTTCTTCAACAAAGGTAAAAAGAGACAAAAGTAATTTCAAATATAATTCTTAATGAAAAGTTTCAAGGGAAAGGGGAGGTCACCATTTTTTTCTTACCATTACAATCAATATTGTTATTGTTGGATCAAAATCAAATCAACGGTTACAAAATGGCATGAAGTGAGAGCCATTAATTTAATTTTGATCAAACAATAACAAAATCGGGTGTAAGAGATTGTAAGAAAAAAATGATAATAAGTATAACATATCACTAAGGCAAAAGCAAAAGAAAACATAGTATGGTTTTCTATAATTCTATCCCCACGTTCAAGTGATTCAAGACTAAATTTCTGTCAACATTTCCCCCTCATTCTGATGCAGTTCATAATACCAAAACACTAGTGCGAATGGTATCCACTCCCACATTTTTTCCGTTTATTTATACTTCCTGCTAACTAATAGCACAATTGCAGGTACAAAAGTATCATGTATTAAACTGATGAAAATTCATGCAAATCATCTCTACAAGTAGCATAGCAAGTCATGGACCAACATTAGTCAATATACAAGCAAGGACTGCAACCGAAATAAGGTAAACAACACAAACAAGAATCTAGCCAAGCAACCACACTAAGAGGAAAAGATAGGAACAGATAGAAGATGCGATTATAGTCTCATTCTTGTCAGCACTAGATGCAAGAGGAAAATGATCAAGCAAGCCATCACCTCAAGTTCAAAGTTGGCCTCTTGTTCTTTTGTTGTTTTGTCAAAAGAAGGGAGAATCGAGCAAATCCAAATTTCTTTCTCTTTGCAGAAAACTGCTTCTGACCATCTTTCTCAACTTGCCTGTCCAAGGATGGATCATTGTTTTGTTTGCCAAGCATCTGACCCAGTGACACCTTCCGTTTCACCGAGCTTCTTTCTCTAAGTGTCTCAGCTTCAAACTCTTCTGGCAGCATCAGCTTCCTGCTCAGTATTTGTCCTATGGATAGGGTTGGTTTTAGAACTGGATTGGCTTCATCATTCACCAGATTCAGCCCATTTACATCAAATAACCGAGAATCTCTTCGATGGTGAGAGGGGTAAGAATTTTTAAACTTGGTAGAGTTATGTATAGAAGAACGTCTTTTGTGACCCTCAGACCTCCACTTCCTTAAAGCCTCTTCAACTGCCAGCTTTCCTCTATTTGCAGCCTCTACCCTTTCCAGAGCTTCTTCAAGGGCCTTCTTGCTGGTTTTAACTTCATCTGTAGCTTCCTCTACCCTTTTTAAAATGTCCATTTTTGATAAATTTGCTTCATCAATTTGAAGCATAGCATCCACAATTCTCTTCTTAGAATGTTCCTCCGCATCTCGAGCTTTGCTGGTCAGAGCCGCATACTCTTCAAAGGAAAGAGTAACTCCATCATGCATTTGCATACAATCCCCATGTGAACTCTCATGATGAGATAAAGCTTTGATTTCAGAAAGGGCAGAAGCTTCAGCCGCTCTAGCAGCTTCCTTCATTTTTCTTGCAGCAACCAACCTGATTTCAGCAGTTGTTATCATAGCTCTCGTTTGTTCAATCTCAGACATTGCTCTCAAGACTTCTGATTTTGCAGCTACTCCCATTTTTTTGAAATGCTCTGCCTCGGAACTCAATCGTTGCAGTTCTCTTGTAATATCCGAAGGATCATCCAAACCACCTTTAATTTCAGCATCCTTCACCACTTGCAGTTTCAGTCTTGTCTGGTTTAGCTCCTCCTCAAGAGAAGACATTTTTGAAGAATTCTGAGTTAACCTCTCACGGGTTTTCTCAAGTGAGATTCTTTCCTTCTCTAACTTCTTATTAAGTGATTCAACAGAAGCTCGAACGTCAGCTATGTCACTCGTAGTTCTGTTCAGGTTCAATTTCGCTTGCTTCAATTCCATTAATATTACACCTGGACTCGATGAAGGGTAGGGCATACAACCTTCCTTTGGATGCTGAAGAACAAGATTCACTTGGTTTTCCTTATCTTCTTCTTTCTCTTTCTCCATGACAGACAACATATTATTATCATCACATACACTCATCTGAATATTTAAATTTGCTTCAGCTTCTTCAGCCTGTAGCTTTGATTTCAAATTTTCCACAAGCTTTTTGGTACTTTCCAACTCTTTTAAGACATCAAGAGTTTCCCTTTCTTTCAGGATGAGCTCTTTCTCCAATACTGCTGCTTGCTCCTCCAGTTTTATAGGGTCAATCTCTTCCGTGTGGTGCTGCTAAAAAAGAGAGAGAAACTTACAATATTCAACTCAATACAAATGCTTAAAAAGAAGTATGATTCAAAATGAATACTACAACTACAAGTCTGCACTAGAGAATGATCTTGTCTAGAGGATTCTCAAAAAACACCCAAGACATGAAAAGATATTAGAATGAAAAAAAAAAAAATTCCATGAAACCATACTCATGACAACAACATTTTGATAGCATTTTGATAACATGAAAAGATTTTGAAGATACATACTCATCTACTTCCTACATTTTGATAGCATTCACAATTTATAAATTATATTTTAGACTAGAGGTCTTCAGATCCAAGCAAAATAACACAATCCAAACAAACCCTTAAATCATAACCCCCACAAGCAAAATATGGAGAAATAAATTACAATCACCAAAAATAATAATAACAACAACATTAATTAATAATTAAAACTTTGGACTGCAGTGCAACAAAACCCTATTAAATTAATAAAACAAAACAATAATAATAAAAAGGAGAACCCCATTTCTTGTCATTCATTACACACTCTGCGCATAACACACAAAGAGTTCGCACGAGTAAAATCAACAGAAAGGTACAATCTTTTCTATTGAAGAGTTGTGGGAAAAGCAGAAAGCTATTGAAATTGTTCCATTTTCACTAGTACAATGCTGTTATCAAACGAATCACAAACCTTTCAAGAGAAAAATGGAGAAAGAGAACTTACCTCATTGTGATTGTGAATGGGTTTCCAGTAACCAACACCGCCGAATCGAGTCACGGCTTCCTTCACCGATTCAAACGGCGCCGAAGTATCAATCTCCGCTCTGAAACCATTCTCCTTCTTCACCGAACCCGGTTCGACCCGGTTCACCGCAACATTAGGAACTTCCATTGAGTGAGAAGAGAGAACGATGACCTACGAAGTCGAGGCGAACCCAAAAAGGGAGAATTTGAAGGATGCAAAAGAGCAAATAGTAAAACGACAAGAAAATGTTGGAGTGTGTGTTCCTAGTTCGTAGTTTGTTGAAGTGGAACTAATAAACACAAACGGTCTTGTCTAAGTCGTGTCGTGTGGTTCCGTGTACCCGTAAGTGGGTCCGGGCCCATTCAACGGTAACAAACACTTATTAAAGTTGAAGTTTGGGAATAAAAAAGAGCTTTGAAAAGGATTACTCATGTCAGTGATTTCTGAGTTATTTAGTAGTTCTCTGGCATTCGAAATGTGAATGGGTTTATATATAAAAAAAGTTGTGTTATATTTATAATTTTTTTCATTATAAACGCATATAAATTATATTATGTATTTAGAGAAATATACATTTATTTATAAGAGTATATCACTCCTTTTATTTTTACATTTTATTTTTATTTATAAACTAGTGCAGTACCCGTGCGATGCACAGAGGAAAAGGATTAAAAATTTTGTCGGCGTCTGTCGTCGCTTAATCGCTATCTAGGGAGGTGAAAAAGCTACAACACTCATATAGAACTTTGTAAGTATCTACCACAAACAAAATTTTACAATTAAGAAACATCAATTGTTCTGCAAATAAAAATAGTTATGTACTCTATAATTGATTATTTTCATATACAGCAATGCATACAACAGCAAAAGTGATGAGATACATATTGTCCTACCAAAGAGAAATCATCAAAAAAAGAGGAGAATAACAATTCTTTTCGATATGAAGATACTAGAATAATGCAGGATCCACACAAAGCTGGATTCCAAACAAGATATTTATTCACAAGTGGAAGCACGACCATGAGATAATAGCAATTCATGAAGAAAGTCAAGAATGTGTTCGATCAAGGTCAATGACGCAACTAAGGGTGTAAATAGGCTAGGCTAAGCTAGGCTTTGACTTAAATAGGTCGGGCCTATGTAAAAATATTGGGTATGGCCTGACATATTAGCCTTTGTAGGCCCCAACTTACAAGTCTGACCTGACCTGTATTTAAAAAAATAAAAGTCTTGGTCTGTTAGTCTATTTAAGCATATTAAACATTCAACAATTTAAAGAATAACTAAAATAATATTATTTTATTATTCAAAAAATTTAATAATTTTATTTATTATATTTTAAATAAATAATATGATATAGGCTGGCCTGTAGGCTTATAAGCCCAACATGTACAAAAAAGCCTATGGCCTATTTTCTAAATAGGTTTTTTTTAAAAGTCTAGGCATGTTCTATTTTATCATTTATAATAGGCTAAGCCTGGCCTAATATAGACGAGGCCATAAGCCCATGTAGGTTGTCCTAGTCCATTTACACCCCTAGACGCAACACATCTGAAAAGCATGCGGTTTTTAGTTAGAAAAAAGAGGTTCCAACAATATTCCACGAAGATAATACTGCTTGCATAGCTCAATTAAATGGAGGATACATCAAAGGTGACAGTTAAGTGTTTATACTTCTCGAAATAAATAATATAATTTGTAAGACTTTATAAACAAAAAATTTATAAATATAATCGTCCTAAAAAAATAGTAAGGGTTGGAAGATTAATTAATTAAGTAGGTAATATAATCATACATTAGTTTATATAATGGAAAAATTGTTTATCATGTGACTGGATATAAGGTTATGTCAAATCACATATTTTTTAACTATGTACTACGAGTAATACATAGTTATACTATTAAAGTTATCTTTTTAACTATGTATTATGGGTAGTACATAGTTATAATATTAATGTCATTTTGTACTATTCATTATGGGGTTTGCATTTGTCATTTAACATGACACAACAAACTTTCCTACACACACAACATTTTGTGGGGCCCACACTTTTTGAAGAAAAAAGAAAATTACGGCATGCAAAACGAATCTCTATAACATTACATAATCATTTTTCCTACAACATAACTCTTATAAAACACATTCATAATACATAGTTATAATTTTTTGACCGAATAACTATGTACATAGTTAATTATGTATTACCCGTGGTACATAGTTAAAAAATAATTTTAATATTATAACCGTAGTGCATAGTTAAAAAAATAACTTTAATATTATAACTATTTATTACCTGTAATACATAATTATAATTTTTTGACCGAACAAACTCTTGTATCCAATCACTGTACATTTGCTTAACCCTTATATAATTATTTAAAATAGTCGGAATTCTCCATGTTGAATTGAAAGCCGATGTCCTTAATTGAAATAGTCTATATAATTTCAAACATTAACAATAAAAATAAATTAAAACCATAAATCTATTCATAACCGATAAAAAGCTGAACAAAAACATAAAAATGTGACACTGTGTAATTTTAATGTGATATCCTTCACATTTGTGCTATGTAATATTTTATAAATGTTCATTGGGTTTAGTTGCATATAAAATGAAAGTTTTAAGCCATCAAAATTGATCTAGTAGTGAGGGGTAAAAAAATATATGAAAGTTTATTAAAGCTTTTGTTTTTTGTAAAACAAAAAATTTAATTGAGAGGAAGGTTAACCATAAATTGAAGGTTGTAGCGAAATATTAACTGCTTCGTCGACTTACAAGCTTATTATAATAAACATTCTTGCCTATTAGCGTACGATGGTCAAATATACGGGAAAGTTTATGGTCGTCAATAATGAAGGTTTGTGATGAGAGATGAGATATTCAGTATTTGCAAAGATATTTTGAATTTTGATAATTGCTCTTGTATTTAGAGCGTAAATAAGGTTGTATTCAAAAAATAAAAGAGCGTAAATAAGGTTCGGTAGGTTTTTTGACTACTGTAGCTCTTATGTAATAATTAATTATCAAATTACTCTTGATTAGAAATTATTTTGAAAAATTAACCCTTCCAAAAAATATAACACCAATCTGTCCCTGTTTGACCGTTTACCATAAAGCTTATCCGAGTATTTTTTAAAAAATTTACCCTACCTGGATAGGGATGAGGATACCTGGGTATATTTCATAAATCTAAGAAAATGCTTGAATTATTTACCCGGGTAGGGAGGGGCTACCCCGGTAAATTGCGCAAATAGGATTTTTTAAAAATCAAGCAGCCCCCATTTGGAAAACTCACAAAGGGGTACCTGGGTAGAGCTGCTGGTGTTGTGCAATACCGCGATTCCCACACCAAATCTTGCTGAAATTCTTCCTTTATGTGATCATTTGCTATGAAGCACCGATACGCGTTTTCGATACGTTATTCGATGATACAGGATGTCGATTACCAAACAATACGTTTCCGATACGCGTATCTGATACGTTGAAAAAAAATTTTAAGGAGTATCAATGCTTCTTAGATCATTTGTTCGCGCAAGTTACATTGCTGCCTTCTACCGAGTGAAATCCATTGAAGGTTAATTTTTTTTTCCTTTTTATCAATTTGCTTCTGATTTTGATATGTGTCTCAGTTGGTATCCAAAAATTATTGCATTTTTGGAGTTTGCATGGTTAAACTTTCGATTATGACCGATTAATTTTTAAAATTATTAACTGTATCCCTAACCCTAACCCTAATCCTATCTCTAAACGTTTTCTGATTTTGCCTTTTTTTTTTCAGTTTCATAGTGTAACGCAATGGCTTCTAGACGTGGAGGTGTAATGCCAATGTCCTTCCAAGATTAAACTTTTTGAGATGATGAGTTGAAATATATGTGTGATGATTCGGAATAGAGATGTCAAGGGAGAGAGATTTGGGGGAAAAAAAACTTTAACTCGCAACAATGGCCGAAACCCATTGATATTAGGGTTTCTGACCGACATTTACCCGGGTAGCCCCCTCCCTATCCGGGTAAATAATTTAAGCATTTTCCCAAATTTATGAAATATACTCGAGTATTCTCATCCCTACCCGGGTAGGGTAAATTTTTAAAAAATACCCGGGTAGGAAAGGGATACCCGGGTAAGCTTTATGGTCAACGGTCAAATAAGGGCAGATTAATATTATATTTTTTGGAAGGGTTAATTTTTCGAAATAGTTTCTAATCAAGGATAATTTAATAATTAATTATTAAATAAGGGCTACAGTGGTCAAAAAGCCAAGGTCAGTAGTCTATCAAGATTTTATTTGTTGGCCTCCTTCACGTTAGGTTTGACCTAGCTTCAATAGTAAATTAAATTATGCATGAAATAGAAAAAAAAAGTCTAGCTAATATTTAGGCTATGAGTCCATTTTAAAAAAAATATTCTCAAAGTCTATAGTCGCCCCTATGATGTTTAAGGATAAATTCTTAGTATTATATGGTGTTCTAGATTGAATATTCAAATTTGCATAGATAGAATTATCTTTCTTTGACTTCTCATAGAGAAATACTTTGAAAAGATTAATTGGTAATCATAAGAGTTATTTTTGTTTTTTATCATGTTTAAATATCTTAATTAATCCATGTTTAATTTATTACAATTGAAATTATAGTAGGCATGTGATAGGTCTGATCAAGTTTTTAATTTTTTAAATATATATTACACCAAACCTATAATTTAGTCTATATATATATATTAGGTTAATAAGTCAGATTACACTTAAATATTCTATATTGATTTGACCTATTTAGGCTAAAGCTTAATCTAACAAAATCTATTTAATAAGGGGCCTAAAGGTCGACTATCCTGACCTTACCTAAATACCAAAACAGAGTGGGTATGTGCTAGGGAAAAAAAATCTACTTAATAATTAGCCATAAACCTATTTTAAAAAGTCTGTTCTCAAAGTCTAGAGTCCAACCTATAATTTTTTAGGATGGAGTTTTAGTATTATATGATAGTGTTTTTTCTATTTAAAGTGGTCCATGATATGTTAGGTTGATTACTCAAATTTGCAAAGATAGATTTATTCTTCCTAAACTTTTCATAGGGAAAGTGTTTTGAAGAGATTAGTTAATAGTAAGAGTGGTTGATCATGTTTATTCTTGTGTTATAATTTCTTAAGCAATTTATATTTG